AAATCAAAACCAATGTTTTTCTCAGTTCTTGGCCTTTTACTTCTTCTAAGTTCACAAGAATCATCTAAAGCACTAGTAAAAGGAAGACGAGAAGATTCACCGAAAAGATGGTTAGTGTCAGTTAAGCTGTGAGCATTTTTCAAAGGAAATATGTGTTCAAAGAAAATAGCATCTCGTGACTCACATATAGTACGATCCTTTAAGCACATAAATCTGTAAGCAGCGCTGTTTTCAGCATAGCCCACAAGAATGACATCTATGGTTTTGGACCCTAAATTGGGTTGTTTGAAGGACGGAAGTCCCACTTTTGACAGGCACCCCCACACTTTAAAGTAATTAAGGTTGGGGGCATGCCCTTTTTCACAACTCATAGGGGGTTTTCTCAAACCCTTTATGGGGAACTCTGTTTAGAATGTGATTAGCTGTTAACACAGCTTCTCCCCACAGGGAGTCTGTTGCACCTGCACTGATTAGCATTGCATTAAGCATTTCTTTCAAAGTTCTATTTTTCCTTTCTGCTACTCCATTTTGTTGTGGGGTATATGGCGCAGTTGTTTCATGAATGATACCAGAATTCTCACATAAGGTTTTCAAAAAATTTATTTCATATTCACCCCCTCTATCAGAACCAAGCCTTTTAATCTTCTTAAATTTATTTTCTACTTCTAATTTAAAAATCAAGCATTTTTGTTCGGCTTCGTCTTTTGTTCTTAGCAAATAGACTTTTGTAAAGCGGGAAAAATCATCAATAAAAGTTATATAATAGCGCTTTCCATCTCTACTTTCAGTATTCTTAAAATCAGCCAAATCAGAATGAATTAATTCTAGAACTGTAGTAGAGCGAGCAGTTACAGTAGAAAATGATTTTCTAGCAAATTTAGCTTCAGCACATATTTCACATTGAGAATATGAATCAGTAGACAGGTTTGGCAATAAATCCATACTTTTCAATCTATTTAAGCAGTTTAAGCCAACATGACCTAGTCTACCGTGCCAAACATTTACTGAGACAGAAATGTAATCAAAGAAGCATTGTTATTATTATTAGAACCATGCCATTTTGGAGCAACATCATGATTTGGTTCAGGTCTAACTACATTTACATCCAGCACAAAAAGCCCATTACGTAAATATCCCTTCCCAAGATACTTTTCCCCTCGAGTCATGACCAAACGGTTAGACTCAAAAACTAACTTAATCCCAGCCTTATTCAACAAGGCTCCAGAGATTAAGTTTCTACGAAGGGTAGGAACAAATAGCACATTTTGCAAAAGAAGTTTCTTGCTAGAATATAACATAAGTTCTATTGTTCCACTACCCCTTACCTCGAAAATACTGGAGTTTCCCATGAATACTTGTTTTCCTTCAGTCGACACGAACTCTTTGAACATGTCTCGGCTTGTGCAGAAGTGTCGAGAGGCTCTAGTGTCTAAAACCCATTCTTCTTGATTTTGTACTACGTTGACCTCAGTGATCACATCCGCAATCACTTCGGTGTCTTCTGCATTCTCAAGTAAGTTGGCTTGATTCCTTGAATCATCATGGTTTGCTTTCTGGGAATTCTGATTGTGAATCCCTTTGCGGTGATAGCATTGTGCTGCACGATGCCCCTGTTTCCTGCAAACGTAGCATCCACCGCTTTTCCCTTTTTTTTTTTTTTTTTTTTTTTTTTTTGAATTTTGTCATTTTTGAAGCGATTGTCATTGTTGTTGGGCTTGTTGTTCCTTTTGTTATTTTTGTTTTGACCTCCAGGTTTTGCCCTGTTCTGATTAAAACTCGATTCAACAATGTTAGCCTTAAAATTTCCAGAATAGTTAACCGACCTGTTTTCGCGAATTATATCTTCAATGTTGATGGATTTCACCAACTCCTCCAATGTAGTTGCCTTTGAATTATGCTTCATTTTGTTTTGGAAACTTTCCCAAGATTCAGGAAATTTCTCTACATCACACAAAAATGTATCATTTACCTGGGTACCTTCTGAAAGCATATCTGTGACTAGATTTTCGTATTCATGGACCTACTCCAGAATTGGCTTCGAGTCCGTCATTTTGAAATTAAGCCATCTTGTAACAGCATATTTTCGACGCCCGGCATCATCAGAACCGTATTTCTTTTGTAGGAGATCCCAGATTGTTTTGCGTACCTTTGTTTTTCGTAGATATCAAAGATAGAGTGTACCATATTTTGTAGCAGTGTCGCACGTACATATTTGTTGTCCTTGTTGTATTTGTTGCGCATTTCTTCAGTGATTGTAGTAGTGCTTTTAGCTGAAGCCGCAGCCTGCGAGTCTGCAGTCTGAAGGGCCGTGGACGTGGACTTTTGCATTGTAGTTGTCGAAGGCTAGACAAGATACATAGAAGAATCCAAAAGCAGCACGTAGTCCGTTTCAGTTTGCTTGAAGTGCATGAATATCTTTGCAGACCACCTGCGATAGTTCAAGCCATTGAGTGACTCAAGTTTGGCGAGATCAATCGTGGGTTTAGAGAGGAGAGAAGAC